CAACACAGCGAGTTTACTCTCGGAATGCCATCCTCATCTGTCACAAAATATATTTCAGAAAAACGTTTCCCCCCAAAATTTGTACCCCCAGGGCATGCACCTCCAAAGTCTGATTTTTTCTGAACTCTGCATCCCAAAAGTTACATATGTACCAAGTTTCAGATTTCTAGCCTTTCTAGAACATGGTTAGAATTAGCGTCAGTCAGTCAGTCATGATCGTCTATATATATTAGATGTCTCCTTTGCTTTGATTATTGGAGGGAAGTATTTCAAAATGTATTCACCACCCTTACAAAAAGGGACACAATAAAAGATTTCAAGTTTGGCACACTAGATGTCATAAAAGTAATGATTTTGATAAAAATCAAGACTTCGTCCCCAAAAGTCACGTATTTCAATGGGGACGTACTTTAAATACATGTTTCCCATTTCGCAAAAAATGAATGAATTAATGACTATCCAAGGTAATAGAGCGCTGAAGGCGCGACCATAGCGCCTTCTAGCGAGTTTGTTTGCCCGAAGCTTCATCACTCCTGACCAATTTGGCTCGTTGGTCCTATTAGTCCAACAAGCCATGGAAATTACTTGTTTATATTTTTTCTTTTAGCCAAAGTTGACACTTGCGGAAAAATGGGAAATAAAGTCCTTTTTCTTCTTTATTCAGTTTCGATGGATGGACATAAAAAAAAAACAGCCGTCTCCGAAGCAAGGAAATAATGGATCATATGCGTCAGCCTGGAACTCTTTCTCGAATATCTGAGGTTCTCCTTCAGGAAAGTGATAATCATGCACCGTGCCAGATGGTGTTTCGGATATATGAGTCAGAGCATCTTTTTTTTCATCCGAGATGGTGCATCTCTTCCCCTCTTTCGGAGGTTGCTCTGCACCTCTCAGGTGAATGGCAGTTGAAGCACATTCCTGATTTCGCCCACGGCGGAAGGGACCAGGGAAATGGGGCGAACCGTTCATTCCGAAATCTCATTGCAGGTTTATAAATGGGAGTAGGGTATCCATTATTTTAATATCCCGTATTGCTCGCTGCAATGAAGACAAAGAGACGTCTTCCATGTAAGTTGATTATGAGGCCTATCAAGTAACGTGCAAATTGAATGCTTTATTTTGAAAAATCGAAAGGTTGGAATATATCGTGGTATAATCTTGTTTTGTTGTTTTGCTATGTTGTTTATGTACGTTACCGAAGAAGCTGTTGCATTAGGGTTCTCATGAGCTCACATTACGATGATACTGATCCAGGTGTGATTCAATGTTGACTGGGCGTCTGTAGTCGATGTTGAACCATTGTCGATGGTTCATGAATGAATGAATCCACATTAAATCAACATTGATTCAATGCATTAATCTTCAGTACAGATATATATTGTGTGATATGTCTGCTGTGAAAGATTTGTCCATGAATCATGTCTCTCATCGGGGTTTGTTGAAGGGTCCATCTAACCTGCTGGAATGCATATCGATCATCGGTGCTCGTGGTAGCCTTCAATGCTAAGTGAACGTTTATTCTATGTATAATCAAAGCCATCATTTTATGTTGATGTTGACCTATGGAAGCTTTTGCATTCCCCATAACACCTCTACCTCATGAATGAATATATATTGCTTTTTTTCTTTCCTAAATTAATTTTCACGGACTTAATCATTATAATAGGAGACTTTTGGAGGAATATACAGTGGCGATGGGCAAACCATCGTTCAGCTATTCGAACTGCACGATGGCTCGAGTCGCACCTGAAGCGAGATGGTGCCTAAGTCGACGATGTGGCGAGTCACTTGCTGATACCTCTGGAATATGTTCCCAGTATGTTTCATATGGTACCCAATCTTTTTCTCTCAGATAACAAAAGGGAAGACAATGGAATTCCTCAATAGATTCGTCTAAAGAGATAACCCAGCCTGGGAAGACTCTAGGCGATTCCGGGCCAAAGGTTGAAGGAAGGATTGTTAAACTTGTGAAGTGATTAACCTTTCGCGCCTGAATGGACTTTTGGGCTTAGGGAAAATATCCCATTTGGTTTTACGAATTCAAGAAGGCTTAGGAAATGCGTACATGCTAAAAAAAAAATAAATTAAAAATTTAATTTAATTTGAAACGCCTAGAAAATATATATAATCATGCAATATCATTAGTTTTGCTAGTAATAGAGTTGTTATTTTCCATGGTATGATTCTCACCAATTCTATTCTGCTTTCCAACATCTGACTTTTAAAAAAAATTGCAGAAGGAAATAGCTAGCAAAGGAATTATTACTCTTCAGTTTGTAAAAAACCTCAAAGTTTCATCTCTTTATCCTGTTCCACATGCACTTAGACACAACTGGTGCATTGTAAACGAATAATCGTATAGTTCCATTTGCTATGGTAAAGTTGACCAAGCTATTATTCCTATGCGAAGCTTGGCGAGCTCTTGTTATGTGATTCTAAATGGAACCTTTGGGCACGAAAGGGTTAAAGAGGATCTCATTTCACAATGAAGAGCACAATATCTGCCTGTACCGGCTGTGTCTGACTCTACAGGAAATACACTCTCGGTGTAAGAGATCACCCGAGAGGCTTTATTGGACACGTGATTCCAGCCGGAAACAGAGTCAGGGGTGTGATAAAATGAAGTATCACAAGGAGCCTAATCTTGTAAAGGAAGAAACTGTATTACATGGGGACAGTATTTGGGGGATGGCCACCTTGGCATCACTCACGGTGCAAAATCGCTAAAGGTACGATCTGGAGAAGCTCTCGAAGGAGTCCGTGGCATGTTCTATTATGTGAAGCTCTACATTCAAGAGTTCTATGAGCGTTTATTAAGGAAATTTGTTTGTTCCGTCTTCTGGAAGTATCCTCGCTTCAGCTACGTCTTTTAAGTTGACTCCATAATGTTCTACGACGTTAAAATCGAACAATGCGCAAGACCATTCGGTGCGACCGAAAAATTAGATACCCCCTCGACGGAGGAATCTACGGAGGGCGTTGGCATGGAAGCAAGTGGCTTTGTCGCAGAGAAAGCACACCTCATTCGCCCTCCACGATTCTCCCATTTCTTTTGCGAAACACAATCCTCCAGAAGAATGTGCTGGACTTCCTTTCAGATCCCAGAAACGTCATTGATCCCACTGAGGTGTGCTTTCTTTGCGACAAAGCCCCTTGCCACTGCCATCTAACAACTCCTCTCCCAAAGTGGAATTCATTTTATCGGAAGACCCGAATGGCACTTGGTGCATCGTGATTTGGACGTTGCAAAACACTTCAAATTCTTCTTGAAAGACGGTTTTGGAGGGAAGGTGCTTTCGGAAGATGGAGCAGAAAATTTCTTCAAACAGTTAAATGCAGTTTTTCAAGTGCTGGAACACGACACGGACTCATTCGAGAGCTTGATCAGATCGAACCATGGGCGATTATCCACTGTGGGAGATGCCAATGATGGTCGCACCAAATGTAGATAAGGACTTGAATGAGCATTAAATAAGCCATTCATTGAAAAGAAAATTAATCTGTAGAGCTCACGGTAATTGCTGCAGGAGGAATACCAGGAATATTGAAAGGATAGCTTGAAAAAAAAGTACTCTCAAAAGGAAATGTTTGTGTCTGTGTGGTCTATCAAGAATGCCGGTATGGCTAGGTTAAATAGAATTAGTTATTCCATAAGGAGAACTAGAGAATCTACTTCTACTTGGCAATTCCTGGCAACAGCTTCTCTAGATCGTGTTTGTATGAAAAGATAGGATATGAAAAGACGGTCATGGATCACATTCATCATCTAAATGTGAGGCTCACATTTGCTTTTATTGCCTTTGTTGTGAAGATGACCAACCATTCATGATGGAATGCATTTACACGGCTGAGTCTGGTTTAGAAGTTCAGGGTGAAACGGGATTTAGCATTTCCATGTTTCATTTCCACATGCTGACACCTTCCATATCCGATGTTGAACTTCGTAATGGAGGAAAAATGGAACTTGGCCTTCCAGAAAAGGCGAGGCTGTTTGGGAAATCCATCTGTCCCCAGAGAGATTCTGTATCTCCCTAAATTCCACTTCTCATTCCGACAGATCCATCTGCATGTGTCATATTACATGTCAGCATGCTGTCGGTCTGAGGGAAAGGACGCTAGAAATCTCCTACCCTCAGATTTTTTGTTGGACCCTAGTGTTTACTTGGACGATACAGTGAGGCTTTCATCGCCTCCGCCTTCTTCAAACAGCTTCTCTCTCCATCTCTTTCGATACATCGCCCGAATACCGAATTCGTCTGCCCAGATTTTATTTGCTTCTCTTGACGACATTCATCGGAAAGCCCATATCAGTCTTCCCTTTTCTAAGTTCATCTGATTGCTCGATCGAATGGTCATTGTTAAATGCCAGGAATGTAGTCTGTGGAAGTCAATAGAAATATTAGCAACTAATTGAGACAGAGAAACATGCTCATCGAATTCGCTCGAATTGAGTTCTTCAGTCTCTGAAGTATATCTGAAACTTGAAACCGGAATTCACTGCCTGTCCACTTCACTTTGCAATGCATTTAGTTGAACTACATTCAGCCAATGTTATATCCAGGAATTTGAGACGCCTTCATCTTATTGGGAATTCCTTCTTTTGTTGCAGGCATCAATGCAGCCTACGAGGAGTTGTGGAAGGACGACAACCACGTCGGCGTCGGTGAGTATTCAGGCCCAAAATTTTCTTGGATTTTGGGGTTAGCGTGATTCTGCTCGCACGAGCGCGGGGAAAGTTTAGAACGCCAAATGGCTTAAACCCCTTAATATCGTCTACGATGGCGTTTTTTATATTTCGCAGGATAATGTGTAAGATAATTTAAGATTGAGGTGATGTGCGTTATTTCAACGATTATCCAGCCATTTTTAGCATGAATGATGGCTCTTACATCTGCATCTATATCCATGGATGAATCGGGGAACTCATGCCCATGAATAAGCTTCTCGGGGAAACGAGGTAATCATCGTGGGAAATGGTTCGAAATCCCCTCCTTCAATTCAAGCAACCCTGGCTAATTCTTCACGAAGGAACACCAGTGGAAAATTCCCCTCCCTTTTCCTAAAATCAAAATCCCATCACTGTTCTAATGGGAAAGAATATTCTGAGTCTAAATCCAGTCCTGGATGCTCCTTTCTCTTGCAGAGGAAGCTGCGCGTTTGATGCGCGAATATCGGGAAAATCAGGAGATGATCGACAGCCTTGGTGGTCGATTTTATCAGATCATCTACCCTGTGCAATTGAGACACCACGAAAAGATTGGGATCTCGACAAGGGAAGCTCCTGCTGCCAAGGTGATTCCTTTGTGTATGCTTAGGCTGTGGGCGTCCGGAATGTGTTTTATCATTAATATTGTTCGCATGAAGGCTGGGCATCCAGCCTACTTTTAACGGCTTAAAGGTTGTAGGATGATGAGTGGATTGATGTGTACCCTGATTTTCTTATCAGGGTCGGGGAGATGACGGTCGTGGTGCATACATACCCAAGGTCAGTCCTTTGGTTCCTCTTTCTTATAGAGCAATTTTCTCTACTTACATCCATCCTTTCAGTACTGGATGTATTATAGATGCTATGTAACACATACAATGCATCCATGCCAGTAGTGGGCCATTTCCGTGGTCTAGAAGCGTAGAGATGAGACGAGAATCTCGGCCAAGGTTAGAATGCAGGAAGGGGAAGGAAAAAGATAGGGACAGTGATGCAATTGCAGAACAGGAGGAATAGAGACGGAGGGAATCGGATTATGGGGGACGGAGACGGACTTGGTCATGAAACATTCAGCATCATCGCCCATGCATCCCAGCTCAATCCTAGCAAATGGCCCAAGCTTTCCTTTCCCTCCCATTCCGCTATATGCACTCCATCGAGCCTTTTTTCCTCCCTCCTCATCCTTCCGTGCTGGATCCCTCTCCTTTTTCTCTTGTCCAAGTTCCTGTCGCTAACCTACTTTACCGCCTGAGAAACTTTTGCCACACTAATAATCATCTCTCTTCCTCCTTCCTTCCTTCCCAAAACCTTCCTTACACATGAGGCACAGACACATTAATCTATCTTGTCAAGTATTATCGTCCTTCCTCTGATATCGGCCCTTTTCGCTCCCCTGCAAGTTATTGCCAGTCTTCATGAAAAAAAATTCTATCCAACATTACCGGCTGCGAGAGGATGTAAGAAACTGCCGAATGCATGACATAGATGACGGTCATGATTTATTCCTCGCAGTTCTTACTGGCACTGCAGTAGTCGTCCTTTTCAGTGCGAATTAAAATTAAAACTAATTAGTTTCACTCAGGCTCACGTAGCAGCTTCAAATTGGGTATGTTTACCAAACTTTTCAAGTCCACTAAGTTTGATCTTATCCCATCCAGCACTTGCAGAAGTCTGAACCTGGTTGGGAACCTCCCTCTTTCTCGTCTTCTTTGCTTGTTTTGCTGGAGATTGAACGTGTCACATGAAGTGTGTTCTGGAGTAAGTCTTGCTAACACGAAGAGTGGATGGATTTAAGCCTATCTCGCCTATCTCTACCCATGACCTCTTTTTGGCTCCAATATTGAGCTTCCAGGATACGGTCCTAATAACTGTGCGACGTTACGCTCATATTGGGGAGTTTACACAAGAGAGTTTACTCATATTAAAGTAACTCGCAGGACAGTGCCAGCTAGCGTGTTTGCACACTCGCATGGAAATACAGGATAGTGCTTGTAAGACCCCTAATTCGAAACCATCACTGATCTTATTGGAGCGATTATAATGAAACGTGTACTGGACGTATATGAAACTTGCACTGTTATGTGCCTAACAGCGCTTTGAAATTTCATCGAAACCCGTTTTGTCGAATCAAAGTTATGAGGAAAGTGGGTAGTATATCCATTCCGTTAGGAACGACTAGGTTCTGTCTGCCTCCTACTCCAGTGGAGATCCGAAGAAACGTAGAAGCCGCGATACCTGTTCGTTCATCAGTTATTAGTTGGAAAAAAAGCCAATCAAAGCCTTATTCAGTAAAAGATCTGCCCAAAAGAATGAATATATTACACTGTGTGGATTTAAAGCAACATGCCAGTTTTCATGCCATAATATTAACTGTTCACGACAATGCATGGTATCGCTTCGAGGCAACAAGCATGACCTTCAGTCATTCAGGCAGAGAGTCTTCGTTGTAATCATAGACACAGCGCAAGTTTCGTTAAAATAGCTCCAGCAAAAGCAGAAATTCATTGACTGAAAGTCGGGGAATTTTCACCATGTCGTGTCGAGATGAGTCTATTTCGTAGAAGTACTCCCCAAATTGAACATAGAATAGGCAGGTTTAATTTGAATTTGAAAATGAAATTTATTTGCTTGAGAACGTGGGAGTTCTTCCAAGAAATACGAGTTGGTCTCGTTCTTTTCTTGCGAGTGCCCAATTAAAGACGATATATGTACGTTATAGGGGAGTTTGTACATGAGAGCAAGCCAGATCGTTCCCATATACGACCATTGTGTGAGAAAGCACTTCCTCGAAATAGGAGTCTACTCTGTTTTCATGGGAGCATGCAAAGACCCTTGATGGCACTGTCGCTCTAAAATCTCCCTGAGAGCACTCCCCGAGTTCATCTTGCAAAAACATTGGATGGCACGCTCCCACGAGTAACATCCATGGGGGTATGCTTGCGTGTGTAAACCGCCTTAAGGGAGAGGAAACAAGCTTTCCGAGAATCGTTAGGGAAGGAAAGCGACATAGAGAGGTTTGGCCACCATTTCCTGCTCTAGACGTAATGGGGGAGCCATTGGCCGGCGTTCATGTTGAGCATGGCGCTGTAGATTCAGAACACGAGTGACTTTATGCAAAGGTATTCGAAGCAGTCTGCACACCACCAATTAAATTATGCGAGTCAAGGTCACGGGATGTTAGCGCCACCCCGGAAAGGCCGATTCTCCCTTCACCATCCACGTTCTTCAGAGAACGGCTATGGCAAATCTACTCGTCACGCGTTCGAAAACGAGTCGTAGCGTCTCTTTAGGCGTTATATGTACTTAGTCCCTTTCCATTTTCTCAGCTAACAGATAGTATTGTCAAATTGCGCGTGATAACGTGAAACAAAGAGAGAAACTTCTCGAAGAATGGATTTGATGGAATTTAATTTCACATTTCAGCATGTCATATTGTTTGATTGCCTTGCAGGGTGCCTCTCGCCATTATCATCGAACTTCTCTCCTCATAAAGTCATTTAGTCACAAGTTTCGCCTGGATTTGGAACTCAACACGTAAGTTACACTGTTGCCTTATCTGCGTATTCTCAATCAATATAAGATCAACGTGTCAGCGAGTTTTCCTTCTTTCTTGACAGGCAGCTGCTGGCTCCCAATTTGCTGCAAAAACATTATCTCCACGGAGGGGCGGAGCAAGTTTCCAAGCAGGTGAGTCTCAATCATTATTTTTAATTTGGCTTCCACTTTCCTGCTTCCCACGGCCGGTCTGGGAGTCTCGTTAAACTTAACGGGTATTCTATGCGGGAGACGCAAGACAGGCGAATGATGAAGGGAGGCGGGGATCGATCCATGCATGCATGCATATACCCGGGCTGCTTCCCCCCCGTGCTAAATCATCTCATGGCGTCGACAGGTTCCGCTTAATTACAGGAGAGAACGGCCTCAAGGGCCCTCCAGGTGCTCTGATTGCTTTTCCCTTGCTCCGATACGCCTCGAATGACAAGGATTAAGCAGATTTCCTTGAGCAGTGTGGACCGTCAGTAGAAGAGACAAGGTCTCACGTGCTCTCATCTCATTGCAAATGCATTGGAAAGTTGGAGAAGTCAATACTGTATGTGTGAGGGAGATAGTTTTCATTCCGGAGAGTCATGTAACTTGCCGATGGTCACGGATACTGAGCCTTGCCCCCCCCCATTTTTTTTTTTTAACGAGTCAGAATTGGCTCTCTACTCCTAGGGCTGTTACATAACTGAATGCTATTGCGATGTTATTGGCTGTGAAGCGAGCCCACCGCGCTGCTTATATTGAAATCTGCCTTTATCACATGAGGACAGTGTCCGTCGGTGTGATTTGTCCAAGGTTCAACATTTCAAGTTTTCCGCTGGGACTATTCGTCTGACCTTGGTTGGGTAGGTTGGGTTTTCTTGACCCGATCGAACCATGAGGAAAGGCGGTAAAAGGCTCCGAGAATGGAAGGGCCTTCAACAGAGAGCTAACTGCTTGCCTTCGAGGATTCCTGTCGCCAAGATGCAATCAGTGAGGAGGCTCTGGGACAGATCTACGAAAAGCTCATCGAAAAAACATTAGCATATCTTTGCCATTATGACTCAAAGCAAAGGGGCTTGAAGGTCCGGGAAATAAACTCATGGATTTTGATCAGCGAGACCTCGAAAATGGGAGCTGTTGGGACAACGGGAGCTGATGACCTCAGCTAATCCCAATGTGATGACGTTGGCGATTCGTATTAGTGAACCGCCTTCGTGAACCTCCTTGAAATTGGGATTTTTTTCACATTACCCCCGAAATCAGCGAAGTCAACGCTGCAAGCACTTAAGCACTGACTCAGCTAACCGCTATTTGCCATTCTACATGTTTCGTGTCTTATCTGTCGGCTACCACTATGATGGTTTCAACTACTTCAAACACCGATATCACTTCAGAAGACGAACGGGTCGGGACGACATGGTCTGGTTGCACCATTTTCGGTCAACTGCATCGGTTTCCCAAAAATGCATGCTTGGATATTGAAAAGTAAGCCTGTAGCGAAACGTGACGGGGCTCATATCGCTATATCGCATGCCTCTATCATATAGCGTGTACAAGCAGGTGCTTATATTGCTTGCTGATATATCGTATACGAACAGGGAAGATTGAAGAAATATATTAGATAGACACAGTCTCATTCTATTGTCATCAACTCGCTCGGGAAATAACGCAGTTTTGAAGGTAATTTTCCCATGTGCGTCGTCGACTTATTGGATGCAATAATACAGGAATGATTGACAATATTGAGGAAATGTAAGGTGCCGCAGGAAATGAACAGGTTGCACGTCTATGTATTATACCTTGTATTTTCTTTTTCTTTTTTTTTCTCTGCCTTGCGTTAGCAGAATACCATACCTCATGCTGGAAAGGAAAAGTTGCGTTATATTTTTTTCCGGCTTATTTATTTGCTCTCGTTAATGCGACGCATGAATATCATAATGCTCCCGAGTCCCTCATCTATCGAGACCTGAAAAAATATATAGATTTCCAGAAAGTTATTTTGGAGAATCGAATTACAGGAAAAATTCTCGATTGTGATATAGCTATAAGTGATTGTGATAGCTTTAGAACATCGCTACCAAGCCTACTGCTTCACTTCCTCGAAGTTCCTTCTGTCTTTCCATTTTCCATTCGAAAATTCGACCATTCCGATTTGCATGGACATTCTAAGGAGCGTGTTATTGCGGCTAGTTGCCATCCAGAGCTCTACAAAAAAGGAAAAAACCGAAAGGGTTATGATTCTAATCTCATCAGGCCCACGCTCAGCATGCTCACCGGTCAACCTGTTAATCTGATGTGTTTTTTTTTTCCTCTTTTGACAACTCCAAAGCTTCTGACTGTGTGGGGAGCAGAGGGCTCCTACCCCCACAAACTTTGCGAGCCAAAACAGGAATGCATTTGGCAGGATCCCGTTTTTTTTTAATTATAGAACAGGATTACTTTAGAACTCTATTACGGATGTTGCACTCTTCCCTTTGACTCTCCAGGGTTTCAAAAGAAACGAATATATATTTCTTTTTTGCTTTCAAACAATCAGCAATACCAAATGCTGATGCCACCTTTTGGGCATAAAAAAAAGTTTGTTCGTCGTCCTTGCTCTCGATGTATCCATGTTCAAATTTTCCACTTGGCCAGTTGAGGATGTATGCCCTGAGGATTTTTAGCAGGAAACATTTTTATAATTATTCGACTATGCAACAGAACGGAAGTCCTTGAACATGATTTTGGGGGGGGGGGGGGGAGAAGGGGGATGATATCACTGGGTTTCAGCTGTTCGCGCTCAACGGCAGTTACTTTTGATGAATTATTGACCACACGCAATCCACAGCGTGGACATTTTCGCATTTTTAGTGCTGCAATTAGTCCATTTCGTGGCGATGTTCCTGTAGTGCCTGCCACTAGCTCCACCAGGATTAGTGTGGTGACGGAGATGTACTAGTTATCCTCGTCTTCCATACCATTTAGGTTAAATGCTTTGACCGGGGATGCCCCCTTCAACTTCGTGTGCCACTTATTCAACTTCCTTTTGTCCCTTAATGCTACGCAGCAAGTTTCATCATCAACATGTTAATTTCTTTAACCGATACAACCATCTGAAGACTAAAGTCACCTTGTGTATATCGAGGTGACCTTGGCCGACGGTGAGCTCTCCGAAATCCATTTCAGTGTAATAATAGACACGAAAGAGATTTCGATAAACCAACTGACGACGCCAGGTGCGTCACGATTATATCACAGCCATGAGAGCCAGCTTTCAAAGCGAGGGTCTGCCCCCGGAAGGACACGCGTCCGCGGTATCTTGGGACCCATCGTATGTGTGGCTGTCGCAGGCTGCGCATATTTGTCTGCTTTCTCTTCTCGGCTGTTTTCTATCGAATTTTTAGCAGGAATCTTGGACTTGGTCATTTCACGTAGAAGGTTATTCACGAGTTTACCTGCATTCATACTGGAAATGCTCATGACACGACGTCACGCTTCCCATGTATTGAAGATGTCCGTTTCAGAGAATCATCCCATGGGTTTCACAATGAGCACCGCCAAGTGGCCTATGTTACCCGTCGAGTCGTCTTTATAGTCACGGCCGGAGTATTCCCTGAATGCCCCAAGATGGTCTTAGAGAGCCAAGTTCGATCCTCGTGGGGATTTCCGAAGAAGTTGGAAACTTTAGAAGGTGGCGATAATGTCACGAGATCGTTCATCACCTGCACTGGGCGATTTCCTCTCTCCGGAATCCTTTCTTGGGAATTTCAGTTCCTCCACGCTGCCTTCTTCTTTCCTCTTGTTCTCACGCTATGAGATTTTGGGGGGCAGGGAATATTCCGATAACATCCAAAATCTCTACCAACTTGATATCATAATTTGGATATAATTGTGTGACATCGATCGAGCTTAGGGAGAGATGGAAAAATGATTACGAGAGGAGTTTTCCAAACCATTAGATTAAACGGCAGCTCGAGGCTGATTTTCCATTCATCAACCCATATCCTCTTGTGGTTCATCCCTGGCGCTTTCATCCAAGCCATTGCATGATTTATTGCTTCCATAATTTTCAACGTATCGGGAATTAATCCGAAATTTCGTAGAATGTAGGTGAGGGGTATCTATGCAAGATCCCAACCTCGTAGGCATGAAGCGTGGATAGAGGTGGGAATGACGGCAAGTGTGATGAATGCATTTATTCATGAGTTGGAAATCCCTTCTCTATCTAAACCATGAATAATTTCCTCGACCTCCGCCCCTCTGTACATACATAGCGAGGCCGTGTCCTCTGGCTCTCCTCGTCTATATCCTCTGCCCGCTTTCTCGCAGGTGCAAGTAAGCTCCTTTTGTACATTTTTATCGGTGATTTCGAATAGATTTTCTTCTTTTACTGAAAATTCCGCAGATGCCTTGCACATGCGCTTTGTAGGTGGAGAAAGGAATCGCTTTGGAAGACTTCTATTCCTTCTATGCTGTCATTCTTGCCAATATTCTTTGCCAGATGAGATAAAAATTTCCCCTTCACTGACCACTGCTCATGATCACAGCCAATATCCTGAATGGAGAGGACATCTCACGAGAACATGAATAAAACAAGCTAGCCTGTAGTTGTACAGTGTCCCATAAGTCTGGAGACATTGGACTAAATGACACATACGCCTTTCAGGCGTATGTGCTATTCGGTCCAATGCATTCCTTCACAACATATTCATATGCTGAAAGTATCCACCGTCAATGGCAATGCCCTTCCCAAGTCGCTTGATCCAGTCGTCCTGGACGTGTCTGACGATCTCCAGTGTCATGTTATCACATTTTTTGCTGGATGCACTGATGCAGATGATGGATACCCTGCATCTTCATTGCATGCACCAAGGCTTTCAAATGTCCCCGAAGAAAATTAATTGGTGTGACCGGCGAACGTGACGGCCACTCGATAGGGTCTCGGCAATCGATCCATGATCTCGGAAATGGTGCATCCTACCATGCTCATGAATTCCTATGTCTCCAGACTTATGGAACACTCTGTAGATTTTCATTGTGAAAAAGGGCAAATTAAAGCCCATAGAGCCCTGCTTGAAGCCTATGTGCGAGATGAAAGAATAAGTCTTTGTCAACATTGGAGCTTTCATTTCCCCGTAGACTTCGATGAGGGAAATCCCCAGGGCTTTCAATATTGCACACAC